ATAACGTGCATGTTTGATTGGCGCAGTGCATACCTTGAAGAGCCTGCCAAGTGACCCGCTACTGACATTTACCCAACTCAAGAAAGGAGTTTGCAGTCATTCATAGGCGATTTTACGTTCACTGTGGTGCCTCTTTTTAGGACTCTGCATACGAGGGGGAATTGGAATGAATGTGTACTCCTTTCATTATATGAGTTGACCTTAAAACAGAATGCCAAAGAGAGCTCAAAAATACCGTTCGAAAGTCTGCTAAAGGACTGTTAAGAAGGGGATCATATAACAATAGTTCAAATCTGACGAAGCAAGTAGTGTCCTGTACTAAAGGAGTATTTAAAATCTGGTTAAAATGAAGCAACCTCAGGACTACTGTGGAAATTTACAACCACATACGTGACAGATTGCTAGATGGACTTGACGTTTCTGTTAGTACTGTTCCTTCCTACATATTTGCATGCAAATATGCAGTCATGTAGGGGCCAAAGAATGTGATAGATTGCCGCCACTTATGGCGCAGTTTGGTCTGCCATGTCACTGATTGGCAGTAACAGCACAAAGACCATTCTTCCACATAGTGATACAGAGAAAATTAAACCGTGCAACAAAGTTGCCAACGGGCTATAAAGAGTTACTTGTAACGTAAAAATTAAATGTAGACGGACACACTGGCTGCATTTCTGATTGCCAAGGCAGTAAGATGTCATTTGTTACAAGTCTGGGTGAGAAATCGAAGTTTGCTGGTATTGAAAAGTCAGTTGGTTAACGTGTACGTGTCGCCCTCCCCTCCACCTTCTTAGCTGCCAGGTCGTGAAACAGACTGACTCGGTCACGCAAATGGCGTTGGAAGGAAGACTGCAACTAACCTACCCTTTCCCCTCCCCTGTCTCTTTGTCGATAATGCCGTGAAATACAAGAAATGTTAGGGAAACATAGTAAGTAACCTAGCAACATTAGCCGCCTTGTGGCATAGGCTCACATGTGTGTGGGCTCCTAAGGCATCAACCAGGACGGGTGTGTCCTGCAACTGTTCATATATCACGAGTCTGTAGCGACCTTGTATTTCTAAGCCACGCTTCCCTCGGACGCCACGGGGACA